CAACTGATGAATTCCAAACAAGATGAAACGTGCGTCAAATTGGATTCCATTACTAGTCACTATCCATATTTACTTATATTTGTTCTTTTAGTTTCAGTTATCAAAGTGGAAAAAAACACACAACTAAAACCGACGATTCACAACCTAAAGACAAATTTATACTATTGACTACATAAAAATATGACAGTGTTCCCTTTGAATTGAATTGAATTGAACATGAAATACAAAACTAATTCAATGATTTTCTTCTCTCATTTACTAAGAGTTTCCCACCTCTCTCTTTCTCTCTCTCTCCAAAGAAAAAAAAGAACTTTTCTATTCTTTTTTTCATGGCAAACAATATATAATTATTATTTATTTCCTTGGTTTCTTTCTTTCTTTCTTTCTGTCTTGAATATTTCAAATGAAATGATGACTAAAGAGAAAGACTGGCGATAATATATGACGAGACAAAAGAAAAAAAAAGTGGAAAGAAATGGAATCATCATGCCAACTAATAATAATAATAATAATAATAATAATAATAATAATAATAATAATAATAACACAAACTCAAATACAAAACACGCTTTGAATAGTGTTACTTCATTCTAATGTTTCTGATAGATACTTCATTGGGGCGGGGGGTAAATGTATCGAATAGTCGATAAAATATTGACTGATAAATGTTGAATCCATATGTATATGATATGATAATCAATTATGGAAAAAGAAATTGGATTGTAATAGGTTCAAAGATATATATATATTTGACAACGAATGTCTATACTTGAACAGTAGGAAACGTAAATGAACATTGTTAGTGTTGGGGATGTTAGATCCCCAGAACACACTTGAGAAAGGAACTAATTTTGTCATTTTAATTAGAAAATTTGAATTTCTTTATTTTCGTGCCAAAGGCGCTCTTATCACCTTCGTTGTCGTATTTCACACTGGGAAATATCTTAAATGTTAATGGTCCGTTGCGTCTTTTAGTATGCTATATGGTAACTCACCCCAAGGACGGTTTTGCACTGTATATATACGTTTTAAATTGTGTTTGTTGTTATCGCTCGTTTTTGGCTGTTTGGAGAATATACTTTCCCATTCCAAGCTTGGACTTCTCCCTCTAGTTAGCGGGGCTGGGACGCATCAAATAGCTAGCTTACTGGTCTTTGGTCACTGAGTCTTTGTTCTCGTTCGTAGATTAAGTGAACTCGTGATAGCTTCAGACCTAACAGTTAGCTATTCAGTAACTCAATAAGTGTGAATACAATCTACCAACTAGTGTCAGTTGTTTATTTTTGATGAAAATTATTATTAGGTTATACAGAATATTGATGGAACCATGACAATAAAATGAAACTATAAAGTAGAGAACTTGTAAAATTAAGAGACAATGGTACGCATTTTAGGCATAGAGGGTGAGATACATGTGTAGCATAGTCATTGTTACATTGTTAATAGGAAAGTAGATGTTATAACTTGTGGCCTATGTGCCCTGTTAATGTATTACGTAACGATACCGCCGATCGGACTAATGACACATAAAACCCGTACGAGCAGTCTAGAGTACTTATCGATACTGCTTCCTACCTAGACCAGCCACTTAAGTCCAGAATACCGATCTCAGCCTCTGCGATATGAATCATACGGAATTTATATACCAATCAAACAGATCACAACGTACCACAAAATGGAAATGTGGGAGAGTAGTATTTAATAGACAAAGCATAATTCAAGAATAGTAAATCGTTAATAATAGTTCATAGGTCAAAATAAAGCTTATAATAAGAGGAACATGAATATGTATAGTTTAATTATTTAGTATTGATCCATAAATGGATCCCAAAAGTTACTATTGATTATTCTTATCAGGACATAACCATAGGTATCATTGATTCTTAAATATAAAATATGCCTAAACATCGTTTAGATCGTTGATCTTACTATTTTTTTTAAGCTAAAAATAACCTCCAATGCTATTAGAAATTTTATTATACTTTCAATTAAGTTACAACATGTCATTCTCTTATAACAGCATTAAACGAAATCCAAACACTTACAACACATGAATGCACATATTCACTAATATAGATATATGTTCTCTCTCTTATTAACCCTCCACATTGTTATACCAAATAATAAAGAATCATTGAAAGTAAAAAATAATGACTCAATAATAATAGATAGTTATTTTGAATATGTCATTTCTAATTGTCAACTAATAAAGTGTAGGCAGAAAAGAAGAAATGAACAAGTATTACATAACAAAGTTATGATCTCAACTGTTGAAATTATTACAATCTCTACAAAACCCTTTCTGATATTAAAATGATAATAAATCGATAAATAGTTTAATCAGTTTCATGAAAGAGTAATCCTTTGTAAAAAGGTACTTCATTACACACACACACACACATTGATATATATGTATATAGACTTAAACAAACAATTACAGTAACAATTGGATGATCAATGAAATAATATTCTATAATGATGAGATTTCGAATAGATGTTTCATTTTATTTAACATTCGTTGACTGGATATACCACCTACATGGGACTCCTCAGCAGTGCGAATCCACGAACCCGCCCCCCCCGTGGGATTCGAGCCCAGGACCTACTGGCTTCGCGCGCGAGCACTTAACCATTAGATCACTGAGCCGGCATCCAACGGTGTTAATGTCTAACTTCAACACCGTTGGATGCCGGCTCAGTGGTCTAGTGGTTAAGTGCTCGCGTGCGAAGCCTGTAGGTCCTGGGCTCGAATCCCGCGGGGGGCGGGTTCGTGGATGCGCACTGCTGAGGAGTCCCATACTAGGACGAAACGGCCGTCCAGTGCTTCCAGGTTTTCAACGGTGGTCTAGCTTCAACTGAATCATGATTTCAACCATTGAAATTTCCTAAAATCTCCACAAAACTCATTCTGATAATACCACCTACATGTCAATGTAGAAAGGTTTTAATAATAATTCGTTAAAAAAATGTCTTCAAAAGCTGGAGAAATACTAAAATGATTATGTTACTATTCTAAAGAAACTTCTATTTAACTTACTGATTTTGTTTGATACAAGAAGGCAATGAATACATATACGCCATATAAATCATTCGATATGTATGAGGGTTGAAATACTAACCCGGGAGTACAAACAGATGTAGATGGTTTTCTTAGGAACCACTCGCCGAGTATTCGATCTAAACATTTAATCCACAAGGCAGTAGAGAAACATTAGAAGATACAGTCTAACGGTAGTCGATGATCAACAATGGGTTCATACGCCATTCTCTCCTTTAGGATCCTGGAGCCCATGTGAACCACTGGTTTGGAATCAGGATTTTAAAATTCCCCTAGATGGATCAATCATACCTATCAATCCAGTTACAGCTCTGGACGTCTACCTTCCAGCCTCTCACTTTCGTAGACAACACGGCAGTGAGTAGGACATCCCTGTCAGTGGCTGCATACGCGTGGCCATACGAGATCATTTCGTGAGGGAGAGATAACTCTCCTCACTCTCGGCCGTACCAGGTGCTTTTACTATCCTTAATGAACAGTTACCCAATTCTCATTTATCTAATTTTAAACTGCTCTTCATAAGCTTCAAAAACTTCGAATTTACATAGGACCATTATAAATATGCTTGTCTTTAATGCATTAAAAAGTCTTGAAAGTACGACACCTTTTTAAAAACATCCTGTCTTCTATTTTACATTCAGGTCTCAGGGGTACAAAACTTCTACATCAGGAAATCGATCTTTCAGCGTTCAAGTGTTATAATTCGTTTCACTCAGTAATGTTGTTAGCATTGAAGTTCAAAACCGGTATCAGAATGTTATCCATCAAGTGACATGAATATTAGTTAGATCCACAAAGATCAAATTCTCAACTACAGTAGCAACAACCGAAGAACTCACAAAAGCAACTGCGTATAAACCATCCAGCTGAGAGAATAAAAATCTACCAAAATCATCCACCTGAGCTACAAACCTTCTCCACTATCTCAATTAGACAAAGATACTGGCAAGTTACAGAATAAACGAAATTATACGTGTATCTTAGATTAAATTATTCTTATCATGTAAATAAATACAAGGAGTATTTATAGGAAAAGTTAGAGAAAATTATATTCAATGGTAAAAAGTATCTACAAATCACATTGCCCCCAAATGCCCTGGTACGAACGAGAGTGGGGAGAGTCCGCTTTGCATATCCAAATGCTCTCACATGGCCACACGTATAAAGCCTCTGCCACGGAAGTCCTACTCACTGTCTTCTCGCATCACGGGTGTTGTTTACGAAATTGAGAGGACGAAAAGCGAATGTCCACAGTTTTAACCGGGTTGGTGGACACGAAATGTCCACCTAGGGGAATTGGAAAACCCTCATTCCAAACCCATGGTGCACATGGGTACCAGTATCCTGAGGGAACAAATGGCGTATGAACCAATCGTTGGTCACCGGCTACCATGGGATTGCATCTCCTTATGATGCTTCACTACCTTGTGGATCAGACCTTTGGGTTGAAGGCTCCGAGTGTGGCCTCCTAAGAAAACCACCTGTTTCGGTTTGGGCACCCAGGCAGCATCACAGTCCCCCTTGTACCAGTATTTATGTGTTCAAATAAATAAATAAATACAAATCACATTGATTTTAATTCAAATAAATTGGTTGTTTAGATCTTTTCAGTGATGTTTAGGAGTGCAATTGTTTGATCTCTTATTAGCTTCAATATTGCCAGTAAATAAAAAGCATCGTTTTTTTTTTCTAAAGCAGAGATGGATGGTTAATAACAGTGGAATCCAGGAATCGAATTCCATCCTATTCATCAATCGTCAACTGGATATACATGTAACCAAGTGTTTAATGTTCACTTCAGGACTTACTTGTAATATATCGAAACAATATGCACAAGATACATGATACCGCTTAAGGTTACCATCTATCACATTAAACTCAACATAAGATATTATAATAATAATAATATTGAAAAACAATAACTAAAATCCATTGAACTTACATTTTATATAAAGTGATAATGCAAGTGAAATGAATGCAGCAACAATTAAAACAATCAATGTTAAATCTTGTAAAGCTTCCCACATTAATCTTAAAAATGTTTTAGCACGTTGTTGTGGTATAACATTAGCACCGAATGTATTAATACGTTTAGAGAAATCATCTTCATGTAAACCTGAAATAAGATGGAGAGAGAGAGAGAGAGAGTAAAATTATGTTTTATATTATTATATATGAAAAGGATACATTGTAGTATAACTATTCTATTGGGTAATGTTAAAAATAGTTAAGAGTTAAATGTAAAGTTGGCATTATGATTAATTAGGTTAAACGGTCAACTGCCTGAAATATTAAACTGTAAAAATATACAGCAATATATAATGGATTTAATCAATTATCAGTCAGTCAGCTACAATGTAGGACCAGGCACATATGTGCATCGGTTCAAGTTGTCATACCTGATTAGTACAACAAGATAAACACCGATTATAAAGAAGTAGTTAGTTCAATGATGGTAATATATAAAAGAAAGATTATGTATAAGGATATAGTACAGGAAGAAAGAATTAGTTGGTAGAAGGAAAGATATGAAGCAATTTTAATCTAATAGTATAAAGGAAGACAGAGAGCCATGTCACCAAGAGTCTCTAAACATTCGTTGCCATAGTCACACGGACCCCAACCAAGTAGTCTGTATTTCCCAACATGTCTCAGACTAGAAGATAGTGACTTCAAGGACTGATATCACGTTTTGTCTTGGTCGCCCCCAACACTAGTGACCATTGCACGTCGTGATAATCAGTGTTCAGGTATACGTAAAACGTGGTCTAACCATCTCCGTCGATGAAAATTCACAACCAACTGAGTTGATAAAAAATATAAATCAAAATTGTTTCATTGGATTTCGACAAGACTTATCTTATTTGACATTCTTCAATCGGATATACCTGAATCTCAGTGTTGATGTTTACAGTGGTACTTGAACCCAGTACCTATAGTTTTAAACATCAACGTGTTATTATTCACTAAGCTACTGAGTTCAGATAGCCATCAACTTGTTCACTGGGAATAAAGTAATTTGTTAGGGTATAAATTTTCTCACTGTTGACATTTAAAACTACAATTGGTCAGTCTATGTTAGAATATAAGCAGTTTGAGCGGATCGCCACAATATATTATCGTTTATAATTACAAGTGTTATATTATGCAATGTCCAATTTTGAGACCGATACATGATCTTCCTATACACGATCCTAATTGGTTACTTAAATGAAAAGACTAAGAACGGAGAAGGGATTTTATTGAATAACCAAATCAGCATTTATGTATGCTCATTCATTCATTCATTCATTTATCCCTTGGGAAATTAAGCCATCAGTGATGTATGTATGACGCCTAGGAAATGTAAGTCATTTTTTTTTGTGACTAATCACGTGCATTTATCACATTCAGCCGATTTTTCAATGACCCTAGGTATTATCTTTCTTTTCGGAATAATAAAACTTACTGAAGGTGCTGCTAGAAATGAGGCCATAACCAACAAGATATCTAATCAATTTAGATTATCTTTCAATAGATAAATGATGAATATTGAATGTGACAGATCTGAAAATGTCTTATCCTTTGTTTGTTTGTTTCTTAAATGTAGGTTACCATTTATTTAAAAATGTTAATCATAACAACTATATATACATAGAATTGTACTACTAACATGATAAGCTAAGTTTTTTTTAATGAATTATAGAGAGCAGGGACCATTATAATTCAAGTATTTAACTATTAATCAATAAGAAATAATGTCCTATTTCATTTTTATTTCGATTCAGATTATTAAACCATATCCAAATAGTGTCATAACAACTGAGTATACTTGATAAATACATTACATTATAGAATTAAGGGTAATTATTAATTAACTAATCAGATACAATAGAAGGTAATGAATAAAGATTCGGTCAGTTAGTAACAACGCAGAACTTCGTACGTACGTACGTACATCAGTTCGAGTTGCCATACCATATTAGCACAGAGATACAATTGTCAATTCAAATCCCATAATAGTAGAGGTAGAAAGAGTATAAGCAGTAACCGGAAAGATTAGGGTTTGAAGATGTTATTCAAGGAGTATAATCCAGTGAAATAAATTTGAAAAGAGAAAAAAAAGAGATAAGGAGGATTCAGGAGATTAGAATTTGGGAGAACACAAAGAGTGGATGCACCTGCACCACTGCAAACGATTTCGAGCCATATCATTAAAGGTCTCTAACCATCGGTTGCTATCATCTCGTGGACCTCAATCAGGTAGTCTACACCTAACAACATGGCTCAGTTCACTTGTCAATGACTTCATGGATTTGTACCATGTTAAGGTCTGGCCGCCCCTAGCTTTCTTTTAATCTACTTCTACACCATTAAAACATCACACGTCGGGACAGTTGGTGGTTGGGTATACGTAACACATGGATAAAGATTCGGACTCAATAATCAATCATTTATTAGTTAAAAGACTTGATTTTTTTTAATTATTTAATTTGAATTGTGTTACATCATATGTGATCGAATAGTATCACTAACTTTCAAAGAAAATTTTCAGCTCAAAGAGATGAATACATGAAAGTGTACTTGATATTCATATTTGATAGTAGTGTGTTTCATCATATGCAGTACAAACAAAAACTTTTATTTATCAAATGACATATATCAGTTAGTCAGTCAATCAGTCAGTAACAACATAGAACTGTGTACATACGCATATCAGTTCGAGTTGCCAAACCACATTAGTACAGAGATGCAGTTTTCCATTCAAATCCCATAGTGGTAGAGATAGTAAAAGTATAAGCAGTAATCGGAAACATTAGGCTTTGAAGATATTACTCAAGGAGTATAATCCAGTGAAATATATTTCGAAAGACATGAAGTTTACGTCCATTTTTAAAGACATTAATTACATACAGTAAAAGTAATAAAACAGTAATCCTATAAATTTGGTGTAATGTTTTAAGTTATAAATCAGTTAATCATGACGTAAACCTTAATTCATTGAAATGATTGGAAAACACAGACCCGGCAACAAACTATAAAAATGTGAAATACTAACTAATGTAGTAGGTTGGGAAGGTAGTAGGATTTAATTAGGATATGGAAAGTATTATTCCATAACATCCTAACTACTAGTTTGAGATGAATTGAAAAATGAAAAAATATTGATTGAAATCCAAGTAATAAGCATAATCAACTGTTAAAGAATTTATGTAACATAGCTCTAAATTGATTTCACTGGTTGAAATCAAGAGTCAATTGAAGCTAGACCCAGAATCAATCACAATCGCGTAGGTCTGTATACTCTCTGTCTTCCCTTAAACTATGAGATTAAAATTGCTTCACATCTTTCTTTCTACCAACTACTTATTTCTTCCTGTACTATATCTTTATACATAATCGTTCTTTTATATATTACTACCACTGAAGTGATTAGTTCTATGTAATCGGTGTTCATCTTGTTGTGATAATGATGTATGGGAACTTGGACCGATGCATATATGAGCCTGGTTCTACATTGTATCTGACTGGTTGATTGAGTGCTATACTAAGATGAAACAGTTGTCTAATGTTATTATATTTCGAACAGTTATTGAACCAAAATCATTCCGTGACATTCTATAACAATATTTGATTATTTTTCTTCATTAGTAATAGTAAGATTATAATTCTATAGAACAGAATAATTCGACCATATGTTCAAGATCATTATATTAAACCTCCAATAAACTACTAAACTAACAAGATATCAACAGTTTAGTTTTCTTATATTGGTACCAAGTTCAATTAACATTTTTTTGTTTTGTTTACAATCACTATGATAAATCTATTTCATGTTTATTGATTTTATTTTCCATTTATTAAGATCATATTCAATGTACTTTATTATTAAGAAAGTGAAAACTATGTAATTTATGACGTATAGTTAGCAACAACAACAACCAAAAAGAGAGGGAGAAAAAAAAGAGAAAATTGACTTCATTTAAAAATAATAAAAAAAAATAGTTGACAACAAATTAGTTTATAGTTAACATAGAAACAATGAAATAAGTACATAGACTCAATTTTCTATCAAGATATATAGATATAGATATATACTTTATTAAGATAGTATGCATGATTTATTTTCATTAATCCATTAGAGATTTATAAACTATGTACTTTGATATAGAAAATTTAGAATAGCAACAGCGACAACAACAACAACGAGAAAAATATCACAAATCTAATTTAATTGATTTTTTGATTATTTTCTACAATTTTCAGCATAGATACTTTTTTTTTAAATTTAAGAAGAAGAAGAGGAAAAAGAAAAAGAAAAAAAAGAACCCTAATGATAATCACTACGGTAAGCTGAAAAGTTATATCGTGTTTTATTTCATACTTATACTTATTCCCCGACCGTTGTTGCTACCTTGATGTGGTGGTCGAGCTTGCCTATCGTGATGAAGCAACCGAGCTATACTGGCTAGAACAACCGTTCCTCAAGGTCCGACCATGTCAGACAGATCAGTTGAAGAGCAGTAAGACTAAAAGCAACAAACTCAAGGTCCGAAGGCGAAGTCGTACTGCTGACTGTACTGAGGTGTGACAGCAGTAAGGTGTTTCCTTCAGACATCTAGCGGAACAACGATGCTGCCTTCCCACAAGGAGGGGTGGGGTTAGAAAAAGTCGACCCTAGAAATGCACACCTCGCCTTATCCCACGGATATCCATTTCCGGTGGTAAGGTCTCAACAAGTACGGAGCTAACAAAAAAATTACTCATCAAGAGGTCGTATGTGATCGACTTCAAGCAGTTGTCCCTTGGGCACTGTGGTCACACTCTCAGGTCACTAAGACCACCTCTAATCCAATTTCCTTTTCAGTTGCATCTAGAAGAACCCTTCCATGGTGTGGGCAACCGGGAAGTGATAACCGCCCTCATACCTCTAACAGCACTCAAGACTGACTGACTTATACTTATTCATTGTTCATTTCTCTAGAGTTAATTTAATAGAATGAATAAACGATAGGGATGTTAATAATAAATAAGATAGATGAAAATGGATGAATGATTCACAAAACAAAACAAAATAATTTACTGATATAGTTACCATACATAGAATAAAAGAATATTATTGAGCTGATCCTCGTG